GAGATCCCCAGGACAGCTGTGAGCACCATCTTTTGCACTATATCAGACACAACTCTGTGCCTCAGGAGAAGCTGAAAACCTCAAAGCATGCGACTAACTCCTGCTGATGTCTGTGAGGATTCATAAGTAATCCATCAGCATGGGAGGAACCACACCTCCCTGCAAGGGAGAGTATGAGTGAGTGTCAATGAAGAAACCCTCATTGATGTTTCCTACCTGATCTACTGAGACCCAAATTCATGACTGTGTTTTAATTCCTATGATATAAAAGGAGGTATCTTTCTGTATAATAAAATTATAACAAGTGGTATAAAAATAACAATAAAAATCTAAATTAAATATCAGAATTGGCAGAAAACTTCAAGCTTGAGCAACTTCAATATATACATATGTACAGACACAGCCACAAACCCATTTCCTGAGATGAACAGCCACGTGCAGTGGAATGCTGCAGAGTTACAACACAGTGTTTTAAAAAGGGTAGATGGGGAATATCAGTGTATTTCCAGTTAGCATGCCTGTGAACACCTACTGTCAGTGCCAAGTTTCAGTTAGTGTGGATGCAAGCCACATGGCAGGCAACCAGTGTTGGCAGCATCAGGGTCTGTGATGTTTCCCACAAGGTTTTGCATTATTGCAGTAAATAATTTCAGGAATGCTCACTATTTAAATACCAAAATATAAGTTGCCAACTAAGAAGATTAAATAATGAGGGTGAAATAAGTAAAAGCTAAAGTCAATGTCTCTTTTTGAGCAGTTCTTACTACAAAAGACCATATCCCATTCCTTCAAAATCACCGTAGCTTGAAATTCTACAGTAAAAACTCGCAAATTACAGTTTTGATCTGTTTTGTCATTGTTCTTAATGAAACTACATGGCAAGAAGTTTGTTTTCATATGACTTTTGAAAAGGGATAGGTCTCTCTAAAGTGGCAGTGTGCCCTTTAGAAAAATAAAAATAGAGGCACAGTTTACTTGTGACTTGATAGAAATAAGCATATGACATTCTGTTAAGCACTGTTGGCAAATATATGTGCTGGAATTATGAATAAGTACACATAGGTAAATCAAGAAATATGTAGACGTGTAGAAGTATTACTTGTAGTAACGCTTTTAAACTAAATGACCAGGTACAATATAGATATTCGTATTTAACTGTAATCAGTGCTATACACTGATGACACCAAGCTGGGTGGTGCGGTTGACACGCTGGAGGGACGGGATGCCATCCAGAGGGACCTTGACAGGCTTGAGAGGTGGGCCTGTGCTAACCTCATGAAGTTCAACAAGGCCAAATGCAAGGTCCTGCATCTGGGTTGGGGCAAC